TATATATATATATATACACACACACATACACACACACCCCTAGCTTCTTTCCTTCACAGTGTTTTTAATATTCTTCCATGTTACAGCATCTGTTATCACTTGGTTTACTTTATATGATTGTGTAAAATTCTGTTGTATGGATATATGGTACATTTTGTTTGTTACCCTATCAGTTGCTAGACATTGAGTTGATAGAAAATTTTTTTATTCCAATTTTTGTCTCTTATACGTAAGGTTCCTTTGAACATTTGTGTATAGTTTTTTGTTTGATTTTTAAATTGTAATTTGAAGGAAACTTTACAAAGTAGTTAACAGTTTATGTTCATTTTGTTTTCATGACATTAATCACAATACCCACATTGTAACCACACTCTTCCTACATTTTTTTGTGTGATTCTCACTTCCATTAACCCTTCATAATGTGTGAAGCTTGGTGTTTGACTTCAACTAGGAGTTTCTGGACTAGTGTGTGAGGAGGCTTTGATGTCCATCAGACTTTGTGACAACAGGAGAGGAGCTTATTGTTTGAGTTTGGTGCCCAGCAGTATAAGCAGCCTCTCTCGCAATGAATGGCCCCTGAGCCAGGCACATAATTTTGCTAGTCCTAAGCCATCTCAGCTGCACTTTCACTAATAGTCTTTAGCGAGGGATGATGAGTATTATGAAAGGCACTACCATGATGCTTCTCTGTCCTTCATCAAAACAGATCGTTTGGGGGGCTTCAGGCCTCAAGAACCCTTGTCCAAAGGTTATTGTTATTCCCCTGTTGGTAACTTCCAACTTTTGTTAATGCTCGTTGAAAAATTAATCTTTTCACATGGGTAGTTATTACTTGAAATTTTAAGTGATACATCATTTTAAGATCTTGCTGTTTTGCTGCTTTAGTTCTCTAAAGAGGGTATTTTTCTTTTTCTGTTTTTATTTTTTAAATATGAACTAAAAAGTTTTCTTACTTTCATACTTTTATTTTTATTAGGAATGAACAATGTTCCAGTTTTTCAAATTTGAAGAATACCAATGATGATGGAATAAAAAAATCTGTATATTTCTCAAAACCAAATTTTAGAAAGTTTGTTCAGAAGCCTAGCAAGGTAAGATTATAGTTTCAAGTTTCTAAATTTTGTCCATTTCATTCTTCTCACATTCTCAAATTTGTACTGGGATCCGTGATTTTTTTCTATAATATTTGTGGCTGTTGACAACTAAGTTTGGGTTGAGGTTAAAAGTTATTGTGTTCAGAATTTAGTATTTCATTTAATAAGATTTTATTGGATTTATTATCATTTTAGTTTAATTACTTAAGCTTTTTAAAAAATAACTTTATTGAGGTAAATTTTATGTACCATAACATTGACCCATGTTTGGTATGCAATTTAATAATTTTTGGTAATTGTACCAAAGTATACAATGATCACCGTCATTCTGTTTTATAACATTTTCATCATCCCATAACAAAAACCTATGAATCATTCCACAACCAATCATGGAATGGCTCAGAACCAAGCAGCATTTTATTCTGTTATCCTGGGGTGATCCATAAAGGTTTTCATTGACTGACTTCCGGAAGTATATTACCAGGCCTTTCTTGCTAGTCTCTATTTGTCTGGAAGTGTTCCTTCAAAATCTTTTCAGCATTATAGCAACATTGAGGCCTCTACTGTCAGACAGATGTTGGCTGTCCATGAGGTTCATTGGCCATAGATTTTGTATAGGCCAAGAATTCCACCACTGAACTTTGCCCCCACTGCTCCATGCTTTACCTGAACTTTTATTTCCCCCTTGCTCCTAAAGCCCAGCAAGTGTTAGAGGACACACACACACTCTCACATACTCACACTCCTCTTCCAGTGGCACGAGTGTCATGCTGAACGTCACTACTGCTACCCCTTTTGAAGTTCACCCCTACCAACTTTCTTTACATCAGCTTTCTAGATCTCCAGCTTCAGCTTTTCCTCTGCTTCCATTGATGGATGGATAGTGGCTGTGTGTTGGCTAGGAATTGAACCTGATGTCTCACACAACAAGAGAAAATTCTCCCAGTACACCACCACTGCTTCTGTAATATCATATTGTTGTTAGGTGTCATCAAGTCAACTTCATAGTGACCCAGTATACAACAGAAGGAAATACTGCTCAGTCCTGCACCAGCCTCTTAATTGTTGCTGTATTTGAGCCTATCGTTGTAGCCACTGTGTTAGTCCGTTTTGTTGAGAGTCTTATCCTTTTTCACTGACCCTTACTTTACCAAGCACGAGTCTGTCCTTCCTGAAGGTTTGCCATACTTTTTTGCAAGTAACATTCTCTGGCTGTTCTTCTTCCAAAACAGATGTGTTTGTTCTTCTGGTTGTTTTGTTGTTATGTGTTGTCAAGTTGCCTGTGTACAGCAGCTCTGAAGCTTGCTCTGTCCTGAGCCAGTCTCACTGATTCTGAAACACCAACCCCCAGTGCCTCAGTCACTGTATCAGTCCTTCTCATCTGGAATCTTCCTCTCCTGGACTGTCCCACCACCCTTCCGAACATGATGTCCTTCTCCAAGGACTGGTCCCTCCTGGCCACGTGCCCAAAGTGAGAAGGAGCTTCAAAATCCTAGCCTCCAAATAGAAACTTGGTTTCACCCTCTCCAAGACAGACCTGTTTGTTTTCTTGGCAATCCATGGTATGTTCAAGACTCTTCTCCAGCACCACAACTCAAAGGCATCAATTCTCCTTCTGTCATCTTTAATCACTGCCATAAATACTTGTATGCCTTATATAGAACATATCCATTTCTAAAATAACTTTTTACAGGTGCATCACATTCATTTTTAGAATTATCCAGATTAATAATCACTTTTACATTTTTTTTACATTGCCCAGTATCTCAATCTATAAACAAAACATAAATCAAAAGCTAAGCTCTAAAGAAGATTGCTATCCATTCAAAATCTTTTAAAATTATTGTAGAATCTGAACATTTTCTATTGAAATGTTTAAACATTCATCAGAGAATAATTTTGAAACCATAATTTGGTATAATGTGTAGTACCACTTTCAGCGAGTTAGTAGCTTTATGTTTTGAGTGCTGTGAGGCCTGCAGTCTGTTTTTCTCTCCTACAATGGTGCGACAGTTTCCTTTATCATAAGCGGCAGCTGCTCCAGCAATAACTGCTCACCTAGTTAAGCTCTAGTGTTTTCTTTTTCTGGCATTGCCTGAGGGACTGGATTAATCTAAATGTTATTATCAAAGGGGAAACAAGTGCTGTTTGAAGAGGTCTTTTATTTAATGGAGTGATTGTAGTGCTTGTGAACAATTTTATTGACCTCCCTAGACGCTAATTGTGTGTATAATCTTATCATAGAGTTCATTTAGGAATTATTGTTGTTTAGCTCTTCATGTAAAAGGAACCTTGTCTTTCTCTGACATCAGTATAGGCATATACCAGTCTTTCAGACATTAATTTTCTATAAACCAATTATTTAAAATTAGTTTTGGCTTATGTTTTAAGCCTTGTGTGCTGTCCCTTTCATTGTTGGTTTTTGCTCATAGTGAATCTGTAGGCCACAGTGGAACTGCCCTGTAGTCTTTCTCCTGAAGACTGAGTTAATCGTTTGGTCAGCCTCCAAGTACATAAACATTGTGCCACTAGGCCACCATACTTCACCCTTTTATTCTAAAAGGAGCTACTGTTACCTTTATTAGATTTGATTTTACTTTAGTTATCTAGTAGTGACTAAACCCTCTCTCTGTGCTTTGTGATCAAACTGTTCCATATATCTAGATTGTATTTAGGGAACTCTGATGATGTAGTCCTTAGGGATTTACACTGCTGACCCAAAGGCCATGCCTCTGTGGCAGTGTGAGTCTATGATTTCCAGCCTATGAAAACCCCATAAACTATCAGCTGTGAATGATTACTGTGAACTTTTAAGAGAATGGAAAAGGCAACAGTAAAGTAGATTAAAGCGATTTAATGTGCACTAACTGCTATTTCAAGAAAGAGAATTTGCAGCTCTTCTTTTTCCTCTTGCCCAGTAAATGAACAGTGTTCTAGTTCTTAACTTTCACCGTTAAGGGAAGATCAAAGACTAAAGCTTCTTGCTTGTTTTATTAAAGCTAAATATTCTTATTCCTGTTAGAACCCTTGCAAGAATTTACAGCTCTGTTACCTTAGATCCCAGGAAAGGCCCTGTAAACTCTTGTTGGCAAGTTAAGAGACACTGGCTGCCTACCAGGTGTTCAGACTGGGGCCTCCATTAAGAGTCCTTAGAGGAACAGAGTTTAATCTTGTACCTTGGGTATAGTATTCAGTTCAACTCATTGCCACCAAGTCAGGACCAACTCATACCTGAGCCTTCAGTGGGTTTTCAGAGGCTGTACATTGCACGGGGTAGGGGTGAGGTTGATTGCTCATCTTTCTCCCTCAGAGCAGCTGGTAGATTTGAAGCATCTGATTTTGGGTTGGCAGTATGACTCCTTACTCACTAGGTCACGAAAGCTCCTTTAGTATTAGGACACGTCAGATTAGAATTTTGTTGAATATGTTTGGAACAGTTTGCCAGAGACAACCTATTGTGTCATCGAAGTCCTTCCTCTACCATACCTTCTTGTGACTATGTTTATATCCCATTATTCAATTTAGTCTGAATTTACCTCTGTTAAAAATTTCATTTTGGTTCCTTGGATGTAGTAAAATTACACTGCTAGCTCCAAAACTAATGTCTCAGGTGGTGTGAATCCACCAGAGTCTCTGAGGGAGAATGATGGGCACTCTGCTCCTGTTGTGATTTACAGCATTAAAAATCCAATGGCGGGGGGGTAATTCGAGTCTGTGCTGACTCAACAATACTGGATGAGTGTGTTTTAGTTCATGAAGTTTTATATCTTCTACAGAAGAATTTAATTGAATGGCATTTGGGAGAAGTACTTTTCATAGTCAACAGCTTAGTGTAACCTCTTCCAGTGAGTTAGTATACAGGGCAAGGTTTAAAGCCTTGGTAGTATAGAGGGAGATTTCTATCTAAGAACTTTTGCACCTCCTTGCCCTTCTATTTTAGATTACATTATTTTAGATTATTTTCAGGAGACTATTTGGAAATATGGGGGAGAGATGTTGACCATTGTTCATGACTGACAAAACGCTCCTTCTGCCACCCTAGAAGTAAACTTAAACTAGCAAGGGTCTATCTTCTCAATTACATGGGAAATGCAATTACTCACTGTCCTCAGACAACTACTATAATAATGGACTTTATACATCCGGGAAATGGATCCCTAACTCCTATCATGAAAATAGTTGCGTTAATAGCAATTTTTTTTTTGTGATGACGAAAGATTGATTTGAAGGTAGAAAGAGAAGTAAAGTTAAGATAATTTTTGATTCTTAAGTAACTAACTGTTGATGCTTTTGACAATTCGCACCATTTGGGTTTTTTATTAAATTTTATTCATTTTAATGAACATTTACAAAGATTTTGGGTTTCCATTCATTCATTGTTGCACTATTTTCTCTACCCTCCCCCCAGTTCGTTCCTCTTTTTTTCCCCCTTGAAAGTCTGTTTTAATTGTCCCATTGCCACAGTGCTTGTCAAAGCCAGTGCTGAGTAATCTCCTTTGTCAATGTGGCCTTTGCTATTCCCTATCACTCCTCCCTGAGACTTCATCCTGATTCATAAGGAAAAGGGGACAGTGTATTCTCTTAGCTACTTCCTGCTGAAAAGGGATGCTGTAGATTTCAGGGTTAAGATCTTCTCTCACTACTAAAGGGCCCCTTTAACAATAGGAAACACGTAGACTATTGTGGTGATTAATTTTGGAATTTAGATGCACTGTTATCAGTTGTGCTTAGCCGTACATGTTCATATCCTTGAAGATGTACCATGGAACTGTTGCAGCCTAGAAGACACAAATTTAACTAACAAGTTAAAAGTACATGAGTAAAAAATTAAAAGCAATAATATTCCAAGTAGAGGTTCTAACAGTGGCACAAATCAAGTTACAGAGGGAAGGTAGTTCTTAAAATAAAAGGCTTATTGACTAACACTTTGTCTATTATAGTATAAAGGTTAGGAAGCACAAGATGTAGAGGCTCAACTATGTCATTTATGGTTCTTA